CATAGATTCTAATACTAGGTGATAGTTGAGCAGCCTTGGATTCAACTAGTATAGAGAAATGTATATTCCTACTTTCTGTTCTTTAGCAGCAGCACTATGATTTTAAGCAAGACTCTTCACCTAGCTTGTTTCTTACTCCAACTTTTCTTCACATAAAGTTCCACATCTAAGTTGCAATGAAATTAAATAACTTTTTCATGAATTTGTTTGTACCTTTTTTTTTCAATATTGTAAAAATATTCTCATAAAGAATGATTTTTTTCTCTCTTTCTTGCTAAATTGGCACAATAAGCATTTGTTTGAGTAGGAATTGCTATAGTTTAACTATTATGGGATCTCGTCAATGAAAGCAGAACATTCAAATCCGGTTCATAATGTGTTTTTTTGTTCCTTTACTTATAAAACATAATCACACTAAGTTAAAGGAAACTTTCTTCAAGGTCCTAGTTTAAAATAAAAATACTTTGATTAATAAGAAAATAGAATGTTTGTCTACTAAAATTAATTTATACAACCTAAACTACTATTTATTATTAATTTTATAATCATTTTTATATGATCTCGCCAAAACAAATTTGGTTAGTCAGAGGTGACAAACATTCCGCCAAATTTAATTGCTCTCAATTAAATGTCTTTTTTTTTCTTTAAGAATGACGTTCACATACACATGTAAAAACAAAATCTAACATCTAAAAACTTTCTTGAGAGAGTAATAAATTAACCTAGCTTCTATTTCGGTGTCATATCACAGTTCATGAAAGTTGAAAGTATTCCACGAGAAGGCTGTACTATTATTATTAAATTGTACGAAACTATGAACTTTAAAATAATTATTTCTTACATACGTAACTAATGTTAAAATATTTTACTTCCACTGTTTTTCTTATCATGTAGCTAGAAAAAAAAAGGGAAACATGATTTATAACATGGATTTGTTTGTTTGTTTTGAATTTCGCGCAAAGCTACACGAGGGCTATCTGCGCTAGCCGTCCCTAATTTAGCAGTATAAGACTAGAGGGAAGGCCATCACCACCCACCGCCAACTCTTGATTGACCGTCACATTAGAACGTCACATTTGGTGTGACGGGGATTCGAACCCGCGATCCTCAGATTGCGAGTCGAGCGTCCTAGCCACCTGGCCATGCCGGGCCGGTTTATAACATGGAAAATATATTAAGTATACACGTATACCAAGAACAATTAATATAGTTATAGCGTTTTATAATTTTGATTACTAACTTACATTTTCAAATAATGTTTTTTTTTGTTTTTTTTACCTTAATCTTTAGAGTAAATGTAACATACCAGGATTTCCATTGAGGCATGTTCCTCCGTTCAAACACCTGTTACGACGACAACCGTGAGTAGTTTGTTCACACACGCTGCCCCTGAAACCTGGTCGGCAGAGACAGAAAAATGATCCATTAGGAGACTTTTCACACGTTCCCCCATTTCTGCAAGGTGCACTTGCACAAATGTCTGCTCGTCGAGATTCGCACTGCTTGCCCTGAAACTGTGACATGCAGATGCAGTGAAAATTGTGACCATCATGGTGACAAGTGCCGCCTGAAAAACATGGATTTGGAGAACAAGGATTCTGTTGATACTGGCATACTGGGCCTGAGAATCCCTTCGAACAACTACAGGCAAACTGACGACTGACCGTTGGGGATGTGAAAACTAAAAAAGGTGAATCCAAATTCGATAGTGTTTCTTGCAACTCCAGAAAACTTCGGCATTTTCCTTCGTTCTGACAAGGAGAGTTATCGCAAGGGTCGAATCCTATAGCTATTTCTCCAGGACTAACCACTCTCTGCAGAAGGCTCTTCTTTTCAGACAGCAACACGAGGACTTCTTTGGAAGTAGTATAATCAAAATATCTTTTTTGAATGGCTAACGTCAACTCCAAGTGATTACTGAGGTCAGTTATGCTGTACAGTAGAGGAGAACCCAAAGGCTATAGAAGAGAGAAACAATAATTAGATCTTTCTTCCTCATGCTTATCAACGTGAAATTCAATTGAATATTTTTACTTGAACCTCATAATGAAGCAGTAAACGTACATGTCTCTACAATGGTAACAAAGCATGCTCATTAAATCAAAATTAGTAGAAAAATCTTGTAATAGTTAGAAAACGATTAGAAGACAGTATAATGGTTGAATAAATACGTTGCCGCTCACAATAATTTATCTTACATTCTAGAATACGGAAAATGTATTTAGAATTTTCCAAACTAACAAGAGTGTGATAATTAGAGTCAGTATTTCCGTTGTGATTTGTATCAATTCTTTAAATTTGAAAATGGACCTATTAAATTTATTTTTTAAATTCTAAGGTCAATGTCTGTGTCCACTCTAATTCCTTTAAGGAAAATAGAACATCTTTAATGGACGAACATTTCAGAATTTTTACATTCTCTCTTCAGCGATACAGTTCATATAGGGAATGTAATAAAATACAATAAAACATATGAAATACAAAATAATCATGAATAACTGAAAGTAAAATAACTTGAGTTTAAGACAACTGAGGCTATTTATTCAGGGATTTGGTGTAGATTTAATATTAGTAAACTTTCTTTTATGAGTAATTCGTTGTTCGACCTGCCTAAGGTTAGAATTTTAAAATTGTCAAAAAATGTATTATAGTTTGTAGTTCCACTACGCGAGCGAATAAGAAAGAAGTCAAGAAATGAAAGCTTTATTATATTTCAGATCGTCCAATACTCATTTATGTAATAACTTTTACTAGAAGAGCTGTTGAAAATTTTACAGTAATAATGATTACAATTGTAAATAATTATAAGTAACGGAGAAACCGCAAAAAGCTTCTAGATTTAAATTTCCGTTCAGTGAATCCAAAAAGAGAAATATAATTATCTAGGATTAATATCCCATTGCAACATAAAGCTCACGTTATTAACACAAAGAGATATGTTGTTACATCGAGAACCAATAACCTGCTACTGCATAATAATCTTTGAATTAATATTAACTTAATTCTTTTACATTCTCTGTAAGATTATTATTGGATTATCTTTACATATAATATAGAAACGAAAATATTTACTGTAGCGACACTTTTTTGTACTGGTGCTATAACCAAAGATTTGTATGCTTTCGCATTTTTATGCAGGGAACCATCAAACAAAACACCTTTTTCATTGGATTCATGGTTTTTTTGGGCTAACGATGGGAGATGAAAAATTAGGAAAAAGACAAAGAATGGAAACGTAACTCATTAATAACCCAACAGCTCAACAAATATATTTCAGTTTAAAAAATCAACCTGTGCTATACAAACAGTGTTTATTAAACTAACTTTACTTTTTAATCACACAATTGCCGATAGAGAGCAGAAATTCCTAAATAGCTATGAAAGCGTATACTATCTAGGGAACATCAGTATATTACGAAAACGCAACATATTATGTGTCATTTACTGCTACGTTAATTAAATCATCAGCAGTCTCTAAGATCAGAAAGTGTGTAAGATAGCAAATTCACTGCAAATGACATCTCTGATAGTTCCTAAGCATTTATTAAGATTTGTCATACACGTGATTGCCATATGTTAAGCAAACAGACTAGTTTAAATCTATCTATGAAGTGCTGGAAGGTGGTTTCCAAAGCTGTTTTAGATCGTAGGTCAGTTCAGAGAAAATATATAAAAATATCCAAGAAAATATCAGGATAAGTAAGAGTGTCCACGTGCTTAGCAGTTATCATAAGAACTTTAATTTATTTTTTGTTCTGTAGTACACCTAGAATTTGATACAATAAACTTCGTGGGTAATGATGCCAATTTGAAGAAGAGTAGAAATGGTTTTCTCAATAATGAAGTAAGTTTAAACACCAAAAAGATAAAATACTGCGAATTCTATAACTTGGATGAACAGAGTTAATTGCCTGATCCTGAAAACAAAATGTTGATGACAGTAAGAAACAGGAGAAATGGATCTAAACAGAAAGAAACTGAGTAAAGAATATTACTACAAGAAAGGAATAAACCAAGAGAAAAGGCATTAAAATACAAAAGTGAGGTTGAAAAATATGAATGAGGAAAAACGACAGTTTGATACTAACAGGGAAACTGAACAAAAACATGTTTGATTTCAACAACAGTTAAAATCTAAATCCTCGCTTTCAACTGAACCATCTTATCTCACCCAATTAGCTTCTATGTTGATGTATTTCTTTTCATGTCACTATAGCTAATCAAATAGGATTTCTGTGATCTTGCGTGTGGAGTCGAGATGTTTTAGGTAATAAACACTTATGCCAACCATAACTTGAAATCTCATCAAAAGGTGCCCCTAGTTGTTGTTAATATTAGACTCGAGCGCAATCTGGTGGAGAAGGTGGAGAAGTAGTATATATCCACAATTTGTGATGAAATGTTATGAATGAGGAGAGAATTTGTATCGAATATGCTTCTTCTTGCTGAAGTAAATCAATACTAATACGGATATTTTCTGGCTATACGTAAGTCTTTGTGTCTTTCTTATAACAGAGTTTTGTGTTAGCAGAAAAGATCTGATTAATGAAGTCGTTGGTTTATGCCCTATCCGTGGCTATTTTATTTGAAGAACAATGTCGCCGATCTTTAAGGCTTGATCTCGGTTGAAAGTTGGTTGGTGTATTTTTAATTAAGAAGGATTATTTTACTTTTCTGATTTTCTAGTGTTAAGTTGTGTCTATGACTTAGTATTGGACTGAGTTTATGATGTTGTAGTTTAGTAGCCGTGTTCGGTTAAGACAGATTTCTCGAGAAACAGTCTTATAGACTTTGTGTTATTTCAGTCTATGTTCAGTAGTTCTAGCGGATGTCTCATGCATCAACCTCAAGAGCAAAAGGTTTTGTAACTAAGCTCTTTCTGTTTTATTTTTATGATTTATTATTTCATTTTGGTTAACATGTTTCTGAAGATTTCTTTGGAGTTAAAATTATCTTGGATGTTGAACTCATGACAAATTTTCTGAGTTTGTAGCTTAATTTTGGAATAAGCGACTGTGTGATTTAGGTTTGATTTTGATTTTGTTGCTCAGCTTGTTTAGTTCTGTTTGTCTCTAAGGTTGGAATGAACTTGAGAAGTAATCATTGGACTGAGAAATGTCCTTTAAGAAGTTTACATCTTTGTAAAGTTATTTCTGATAGTTCAATGTTTTACTGAATATAGGTTGTTGAATTCGAAACTTAGGTGCCTGTTAGCGTGGGTGTTTTTTGTATACAATAGTGGTGAGGTATTGTCACGTTAGTGAATGAACATGTCTAGTGAGGGTAAGTCTTTTTATTTATTTGTAGAGCGAAGTATGTGTTAAGATCCAGGAAGTCAGGATTTTAAAGAAAACTTTGAAATGTGTCTTTTTATGTTTCTAGATTACAATATTATAGTGTTTTATGGTACTTGTCCGTAGTATTTTGGTGTTGACGTTTTCAATGACGATACAACTGATGGTAGAAGAGAGTGAAAATCCTATAAAGAGGTCACTTGCTCTTCTTGGAGTAAAAAGTAGGTGGAACTGGTACATTGTGAGAGTAAAGTGATTATAAGAGTCAGATTAAAGGTGCCATGCAGAGGCGTAGTTATGCCTCCTGCTAGTTTGTTTCTGACTATAGGTAAAACGTGGATCAGAGGAATACACATAAACATACTGATAACTTAAAAACTTATTAAAATAGCCTTTTGGATGTACTGGGATGTTTCTGGGATCTTTAGTAAAGCTTTATGAATTCTTGTCATGGAACATTATGACAGGTATAACTGGATTCAGGATACCGATCAGGTAATGTTATGTACAGCGCCAGGGAGGAATCTGTGATGTTGACTATAAGTCTTAGAGCAACTCCGAGTTTTGAGAATTTTGGAAGCCCTTAAAGTTATGTTTTCGTTGCTTAGCGTCCCAGAGTGACTTGCGGTAGGTCTGAAGAATTATGACGCTAAAATTCGAGTTTCTCTACCCGTGATAGGCAGGGCACAAGTAGTCTATTGTGTAGCTTTGTGCTTAACAATAACCAAACCAAATCGTTGTTTAGTTGTTTCTTTAAAAAAAAAATCAAATACTTCATTCCTGGCAAACGTATTCATTTCATGTTATATTTTACTGTATGGGCAACTTTAAATAATAGTTTGTGGCTTTTTGTTATATTCTATTTTTTTCTATTGTTGCAGTTTTATTCCTTTGTAAGCTGATAGGATAAAAGAATCTTTCTGTAATTTCTTATAACTACTTTTCCTTTTCCTTGGCTGTTTAAATTCTGATGTGTAGATTTACGTTATCAGATTATTGAACAGGTTAAGAACCAAATTTCGTTTTCCTCAATCATTGAAAGTTTCTGGAAAGCTTCCTTTATTGTGACCATGAGATGATGTATCTAGGGTTGAAAAATAATGCATTTGGTAAGCATAAAAGTTGTTTTTTCCGTATTATCAACTTAGGGTTTGATGATTTTTTGTGTGTGTGTGTAATCATAGAGAAGTTTTGACAACAAATTCGTAAATATGAGGTGGGTTAGGCATGATGATGAGCTTACACAGATTTTTGAAATATTATAAGCAAGAGCTCTGCAACAGGTCCAAACTACCATTATAAATCCCCATGACATAGAAGACACTTATTGCCTTACAGTGCCAGAGGATATTGTAATCCCCATGACATAGAAAACACTTATTGCCTGAAAGTTCCAGAGGATATTGTTATGTAGAGTTCAACTTTTAGCCAAATGCTTGCACAATTCAAGATTTAGTCTTTATAATATGATTTCTCTTTTTGGCTAGTTATGGCTACTTAAAACTCAAAAATAGTTTTCAAACGTACATTGTGTACGCAAAATAGCAGTAAAACCTCTAACATTAGCATTAAACTATATGACACGCCAACTCTCAAGTTTCTAAGTCTTACTTTTGGCTTACATTGATTAACATATCTCATGCATAAGCGAGATATTAAACTATTTATTAAAAACTGTAGATAATTGCAAAGGTTTCAAGGCTAAAACCATTATACTTATTTACATAATCTTTATTACGCCTATTAAATCTGTGATATGACATATTTACTAGAAACCGCCCAGAATAAAGCTTCAAAAATAGCTCTATGTCTCCATGGTTCATCACTATCTATTTACTTCGTAAAGCTGCTAAAAGTATCCCAATTTCTGAGAATATTCTTAAGTTAGATGTTGGGATATTTCTGCAAAGCTAGATAGCAAACTCGTTAAACTCAAGCCTTTTCCAAGTTAGAAATTCTTCTTCCTGGGTGATACCACCATTAATTTCTTTACAACATAGGCAACGCATTTACACTGAAGCTTAGGTTTTGTTTTATAAAACTTCCATCTGACTGAAATCAAACATGGATGCTTTAATACACAGTCTTCTTTGCAACGTCTAGAAAGAATACTCTCTGGTGGGTTTTAAATCTTCCTATGTATATTCTCATAATCTTCCTTCATTACACTACACACGTCCTTACCATTTATAAAATATATTTTTTTTATCTTAGTAAACACTATTTTCACCAATGCCAGTAACAGAAACAAATGTCACTACACATACTGTATTATTTCTCCTTTCCATTCCCTCTCTGAGGGAACAATATCATTTTCCCATACAACGAGATTTCCCTAGGAATTGTCCTTTTCCCAGCAGCAAGTCTTTCAAGGAAGATTCTTTGTTTTATTTCTTTTTACTCCTATGTGACATTTGCAACTAGTTCACATTTAATTCTAGTGTTTAAAAGTTTTTCCCTTTGGTTTGTTTTATCTCGATTCCATTTAATCTGTGGTTATGATAAAGAGGGTGTTGGTTCATTTCAAATTATCTCAAACTAAAAAACATACAAACAAACAAAAGACAGAGACATAAAGAAAGTAATTACAGTAGTAAACATCACAAATTTAAGAGAAGAAAAAAATCAGCACTATTGATAACGTAACCTGGCCAAACTTTGCGTCTGTGGTAATGCTAAAACTAACGGCCGAAATATAGCATTTAAAAATTTATATCAGTTACAAATTAACACATACCTTACTCACTAAATGTGGAAAAGTATAAACAAATAATCTTTAATGTGATTTGGCTTGTGATTTAATTTATCTTAAATTGCTAAGGAATAAGATAAAGAAATAGAGAGAATTGTCGACAATGAAAAATGTTTATGACGTCAAACTTTGTATAGAACACTTGGTAAAAAAAACATTATAATGGCTTTAATAGAAAGAATAGGAAAACAATATGAGAATATATGTTTACCCAAATTGTATTTATGATTATGCTTTTCAAGATATAAATAAATGTTCAAAGGATTTGTACATAAGGTCTCTTAATAACGTTTTTTATTTATATGCATTACTAGCCTTGTCTCTGAAATCAAGTCCGCAAACTTGTTCATAACTCCTATCATAGTCCTTGTTATACTTATTTTCTGCCAATATGCTTTACATTATAATTCTCAAAATTGTTTATCAAATTTGTATAAACTTATTAAAGATACATGGGTTACAATCTTTTATTTCAAAAATCACAGGTTGATAAAATAACACTATATTTAGTCTCCTAACTTTAAATAAATTTAACAAAATTTACACTTAAGACTAAAAACAACTTTATCTATACATTGTATTTTAACATAATTTGGTATATTCGAACTTATATTCAGTGTAGGGTTATGGTTTGGCAACTTTGAGGGAAGAACAATATCATTCATTCAATTGTGAAAATAAAATATGCTTAATAAATTTTACAACTTACCTTAAATATTTCTCTAAGTGTCTCTTGAAAACGATTGAATTTATGTGCTAAAAAGGTTTCAGAAGATTGGTTCAATATACGAAGCGTAACGCTATTTTCAACTGTTAAGTTGTCAAAGTTCATGAACTGTATTCTTATAGCGGAGGTTACATCTGCATGTCTTCCGTCGTTGCCGCTGACAGATATAGTGTAATCTCCAGGGTCTTGAAGCCTTGCAGCGTGAAGATCGCATTTATGAGGAATATGGAACTTGTTAGTATCCCCTTTCACAATTGTACATTGGTATTGTCCTGTAAGATCAGGGTCTGTGGGATGGACATCTGCAATCTTTCCCCCCAAAAACACTTTTTCATAAACCCAGACAAAAATTGTCAGTGCTCTAGGAGAACTTGGACAGTCATTTCTGTCCATGACCACAATACTAATAGGGTGTCTAGACTTCATTTGAGGAACACCACTGTCATGAAGTTCAATAATAAGGTTTATTTTAGGAGAACTTTCTCTGTCAATGCTTTGGGTTGTTTTCACTAGGCCAGTGTAGTGATCAACTGTAAACAATTCTTTGTGATCTCCATCAACCAGAAAGTAAGAAAAGGGTGCCCCATTAGGGGGCAGGTCTGGATCCGTTGCACTCAACACAATTACGCTTGTGAAAGCCGGTTCATTCTCCAAGACATAACCCACGACATCTGGAGGATCAAACATAGGTCCATTATCATTAACATCCATGATTTCCACCTGTACCAAGGCACTTCCAGTCTGGGGAGGACTTCCATTATCCACTGCTCCTATTGTAATGTTGTACACATCTGTAGTCTCCCTGTCCAAAGCGACGGTTGTAAGAATCGTCCCTGACTGAGTGTCAATACTGAACAATTTCCCGGCAGCACTGTCCATTATGGAATAGGAGAACTGGTTGTTATTAGGACGGACATCTTTGTCAATAGCAGAAACAGTTATGACAGAAGAACCAACTGGTGCTGATTCACTGATGTGTGCCTGGTAAATTTTCTTGGAGAAAACAGGAGGGTCATTGCCATCTTCAATACTAATAACAACCTGGGCTACGTCCGTATCATTACCTCTGATACTTCCACTGTTTTTTACCATTACTGTCAAAACAACTCGAGATTGTAATTCTCTATCTAGTCGCCGAGACACAGTGATAATTCCTGATTCAGTCTGAATATGAAAGCCCCGACCGTTACTATTGCCTACAAAGAGAAAAAATACTTCACCATCTAAACCACTGTCCTCGTCAGTAGCTACAACAGTCCCCACTGGCGTTCCAATTGCTGCGGACTCGCTGACTGTGAACTGGAATACTGGCTGTAAGAAATGAGGATAATATTCATTCTGGCCAGTTATATGTACGATCAGCTTTGTCGAGGAATGTTGATTCGAACCAGCGTTACTGGCCATAATACTTAGTTTGTACAGATCATTGCTTTCATAATCGAAACTATGTCTGGATGTTACCACTCCTGTTTGACTATTGATAGTAAAGGATTCTTTCGACTCTCCTCCTACTAGAGAATACTGAATAATGGCGTTCCTTCCCGAATCCAGGTCTGTGGCAACAACTTGTGTTACAATAGTGCCAATTGGCATGTTTTCGGAGATTTGAACCTCGAAGACAGTTGAATTAAAGACTGGAGGATTATCGTTTACGTCTGTAACAATAACAGTAAGCATAGCAGTAGCATTTTTGCTATGAAATCCACGGTCTGAAGCAACGATAGTAAGCTGATACTCTTGACTTATTTGATAATTCAGAGATTTAATAATTGTCACGGATCCAGTAATGGTATTGATCCTAAAGCTTCTGTCAGAGTTACCAGACAAAATGGCGTATGTAATTTCTCCATTCAGTCCTGCCATAAAATAAAAAGAAAACAGTAAACACCACATTCATCTTTCCCTCAAGGAGAAAAAAGGTGCAATATTCAACTAAACTAATTTTAAATCCGATGAATAAAGACCTGTTCAATAATTGTGTTTACATTGATTATTTATCTTATATTACATAATTCAGTAACGCATTTCCCAATTAACTGCATACAAATGAAAGACGATGGATTAAACCTGACTCGTACATTTTATGCCTGTTGTACTTTGTATTTTAAAATAGATAAATAGAAGTTTCTTTGAATATAATAGTTTAGTAAAATTAAGTTTCTCGAGTACGTAAACTTCTCACCAGTGCCCCAAATAGTTCAGTAATTTATGTTGACATTTGATTGTCTCAACCTTGATGGAAGTAAAACGTTTGAACAAAATCTTAATATTTACTCTGATAAATAACAACAAATGATGCTCATTTAATCTCACAAAATATCAACGGATAGAATTACACAAAAAAACAAAAACAAAAACTTAAAATTCTAGCGTCATCGACTATTGGACTTGTCTTCTTTAGAGTTAAAAAAGCCTGAGGGTAAGATGAGTTTGAAAGTAGATGAATAAGATATTTTCTGTTTGGATTAATTAGACAAAAATTATTTTTTTTATAATTATTGTACAATTGAAGAAAAGTTTGTTTTCTGCATCAATCATCAACTTTTATCAATTGCTTCTTTGTGAGAGTGTGATTCAAGGCAGTCCATAATATTTACACAAACATTTTAGTCATTTAATGAAATAAACATGTTCTATTTAATAAATTTTCAATTGATCATATCTCAAATTATTCATGACGTAAGCGTACATATGAAAATTACAGAGAAAATAAATGACTTATCGCATATTTTGTGGAGAGGACAAGAAGTTCCAAGAATTTTTTACGAGTGAAACCAATATACTGCTCAGTGTCAGTTGGAAAGAGAAGGTCCATGATCTATGTGAATTTGTTTGCCCGCGAACTCCTTCCACAGTTTGGAGCTAGAATGATAAAACTTGGCAGTACAGACTCATGGTGTTTTTATATATATGTCGTAGTCCTCATAATAAGGGGTATTAAGAGGACAAATCACCTATGAAATGTCACCCAGGCATGGTTGGTTTCCGGGATTAGATCTGTAGGTTGCTGAACTTGAATATGAGGGGTGGGGGAGGAGGCTTTGAACCCTGCAGCGGGTATTTTTATGCTATTTGTTCTTAATTTTTCTAAACTATGCAAATTATGATTTTTACTTTCTTAACTATTAGTATAAAGGTTTTCGCAAACAGTTTCTGCTAGTTAGTTTCTCCATGTTTATTTTTATTTATTTATTTTTTAAGTTAAAAGAAATGACAATTAGAAGTAAGCGTATATTTGTACTTATACTGTTAGAAACCGGGTTCTAATGCTCGTGGCGGACAGAGCACAGGTAGTCCTTTGTGTAGCTTTGTGCTTAATAACAAACAACAACAGCGTATATTTAATCATTTCTCATCATTTGGTAAAATAATTAAATCTCTTAAATTTTGCATTTTTAAATGCTTTTTAATTTATTGTTCATGTAATAATTTCTTTCAGAATTATAATAGGCCAATTTAAAGACTAGAAGATGACGTAACACCATAAATTTCTCTTTGTAAAAAGTTTGCTCACTTTCCGACTATTGTTGGTCGAACTTAATCTTATCTTTATCTTAGCATTTAGTCTCAAATATAAAAGGTCTTAACAAACCATATAACAACTATATTTTAAAATCTAAAATGAATTAACTTGTTTGTTTTTGAATTTCGCGCAAAGCTACACGAGGACTACCTGCGTTAGCCGTCCCTAATTTAGCAGTGTAAGACTAGAGGGAAGGCAGCTAGTCATCACCACCCACTGCTAACTCTTGGGCTACTCTTTTACCAACGACTAATGGGATTGACCGTCACATTATAACGCCCTCATGGCTGAAAGGGCGAGCATGTTTGGTGGGACGGGGATTCGAACCCGCGACCCTCAGATTGCGAGTCAAGCGCCCTAACCACCTGGCCAAATGAATTAATACCGACAATTTAGGATTTTATACAATCGTACTCAAAACGTGTTATCAAGGGTGTCTATATTTCTTTTACTTAGATTTATTAGTTGATAGAGCTGATACCATTTGAATACAAACTATAATCTAATAGTTAGACCTCAACGTAAAACCTTAGTATAATACTTCCACTATATTTATTTTGTAAAAAAAAAATATTTTAAATACACCACATGATGAAAGAAAATCTTTCCACAAGCGCATGAATTCTTTACTTCCTCAAGTATCATTTTAGGGTATTATAACATAGAACATAATTAAAAAAGATTTAATAGAACTCAGGTTATCGGGTCTTCTTTAATAGATTGTATTTTACCTAAATTTAAGAAACAAAGCTCTTTCGTTTTATCATATCATGGATATTAGTATTTGCTTTCAACCAATAAAGACTTTTTCCATTACTCATAATTTTGGTCTAAATAAAACCAAAAATGAAGAATGTTTTCGTAAGGATATTTTAAAATTTGTGACTTGCCAATTTAATCTAGTTCGTACCATAACAGTTGTTGTTATACAATTTGATAATATAAATAACGTTTCACCCACTGCCAACTCTTAGGCTACTCTTTAACCAACTAATAGTGGGATTGATTCACACATAATAACGCCCCCACGGCTGAAAGGGCGAGCATGCTCGGTGGGATGGGGATTCGAACCCGCAACTCTCAGAATAAAAATCTCTAATGAAAATGTATTATCGAGTATCAATTGAACTTTAAAAATAAAAATAACACTGTGAAATGCATGCATAATATTTGACATGAATTACCTTTTTTGAATAAATTTATTCGAATGTATTCCTTTTAATATAATAATTTATATAATAATTCAACACTACTGTAAAAGATTCCCAGAGATTCAGTAACATAGTCGCACATAGGTAGGATTTGTTAAACGTATATTTCAGTTACTGAGCCAAAGTTTAGTTACTGGAAGGAAATTATATTTATGAAAATATAGTGAATTATCATCGAGGAAGGGGAGGGGGTAGGGAGACCGGTATGATCCAGTGTGTAGTGCTTAGGACTCATAGTCGTAAAGTTGTAAGTTAGGCTTGCTCGCGTCATGTTCTTGTGTTCTTGAAAAAGACACTTTACGCCAATTGTTTCAGTCTAACAATCTATAAAATGGATACCAGTGGATACTGGCATCTCGTTCAGGGGAATGTGTCACTATTTTCATCAGTTTGTGCCACTGTAACGGTTGTTCAGCACTGGCTTCTATGTGCCATTTAGGTATGGGGTGAACTTGACTTATCAACCGTAGCTTAAAACTTCCACATGTTTTACATATAAACAATACGTTAATGTTTTTGAAAGTTAGATCATGAAATTTAATCTACGTTTTTTAGTTAATCAAATTATATATCATCTGTCGTGAAAACAAAAGGTTTTATGAATTGTTATATTACTACAATGGTTATTTTCTTCTCTGTTTTGCCTATGTTTGTGAAATGTTTAAATTTCCGGCAAAAACAATACAAACAACATGAAAAACACTGTTAAACAGTAATAAAATGAATACATTAATAGAATATGGTTGTAACTTTCTAATATTCATTATTAGAAAAACAGACGCATACATAATCCAATTTTTCTCGTTATAAACAGGGAAGTAAGTACAGAAACTAAACTTTGTATATACCTCAATATAAACGATATTGAAAGACTATTTTAACTGCCATTAACTACCAATTAAAACTGAAAAAAAAACTTTCTTCGGCATGACTGGAAAAATATATTTTTATGTGTGAATCGGTGTAAGTTATGAATATAAAAACCTCATCTTAATACTCTCAAATTAAGTTTATAGTTTTACAAGTGCATGCATTGTGGGGAACGATATTTTTTATGAAAAAAAGGTTTGATATCGTTGGTGGAAGGTAGGTAGCTTTATTAATATATAATAATTCAACCCAATTTAAGTAATGAAGACAAATTATGAAATCTGTTAACTAAGCAAATTTCTTACATAATAAAAATGTTCTTTGGTAATAGTATGTAAAATAAGAGCAATAAAACGACTGAATGTTACCTGCATCTGTGTCTGTTGCTTTCACGACAATGATTTCTGAGTTGATCTGCTCATTCTCAGCGACAATCACTTGGTAACTAAGAGCTGTAAAAACAGGCGGATGTTTGTTTTCTTCGGTAACAACAAGAGTAATCATGACCTCTGAAGACTTGGGGGGTACACCTCGATCAACTGCCCGCAACTTTAGGATATACCACTGGTCTCTATGACCAAGAAGGCTGTCTCCAACGGTCACCCATCCTACGAAAGAATATCTTAATATGTTAATGACGCTTAAGAAACGTACTGAATTAGAGTTCGTTGACATAAGAATAAAATATAAAAATAAATTTGTCGAGATATATTTTTGCAACCTTATATAGAAATTACTGTCTATGTGAGGGATTCACACACACGTTAACCGCTCAAAATATTAGTAACACAAATTTATTTTGCTGCTTATTAGAGAAAAAAAGTAACACAAATAGCTTTAGTTGGATAAAAATGCATATAGTTAATTACATTCATGTTGCTTTTGAGTATAGGTTATCATCAATAAACTTCAAAGGATGAAATAAATAAATAATTAGTTAATATAAATGTAAGAATCTTCTAAAAGTTAACTAAGCAATAGAAAAGAAAATTAAAACTCTTTGTAAATGATATCATCTGACTAGTAAGTGACTTAAAAAAACTGATAATAATTACAATTCACTTGTTTAAACTGGACCACACCATAATAGTCGTTCATCAATGAAAACTGATGATATAAATAGCGCCTCTGATAATTTGAATTCACTCGTTTAATCTGGACCAGACCATAATAGTCGTTGACCATAAAAACTGATGATATAAATAGTGCTTCTAATAATTTGAATTCACTCGTTTAATCTGGACCAGATCATAATGGTCGTTGATCATGAAAATTGATGATATAAATAGCGTCTCGACCACTCATATGTCTGTCGTATCTCAACTAGTCTGAGGAGCCCTGGTATTGGGCAAAAGGCCTAGCTAGCACTAGATAAAGTAGATGTAGTATGGTTGTCATATTATAACATATTCTTCTTAGAATTAATAATGTAGTTTTCTTATGTTGACACTATTGTTGTTTGACCTGCTCCATGAACAAGAAAACTAGCTTGCTGATTCGCCAATACTTGTGAATGATAGTAAAGTTAATTAAAATAAAATAATAATAATAAATACAATTAGATAAATAATTCATCTGTATTTAAAATTAAAATATATAATAATTACAATTCATCCGCTTAATCTGGTTCATATCAACAGAGTCACTGATCACTGTATATGTTTTCATGTCGAACAAATAACTGGTACACTAAAATGTGAACGTTTTTTTCCCCACAATACTTATTGTCCAGTTTCTCACGTAAAAATGTAGCCCGAAAGTAAAAGATGTTTATACAGCTAAGAAAAAGCGTTTTACCCAAGAAAGTTACTTAATTCCGACGTTTTGTATGGCAACTTTGAATTTAGGCTGTAAAGTAAAACTTCGATTTGGATTTTTCTCTGTTAAAGGTAATTAGTTACTTATATTTTCGTTCGAATACGTAAAAAAAGATCTCGAAATACAGTGCACTTATATATTATACGAGAGTTCACTCTAAAGCTATACTGAATACCTTTTATACCATGTATCGTTTTTTTTGTATGGAAAATGTAACAACAAATTTCTATAATGCTCGCAAAGTACACTCGCTCGATAAATGGCTGAATGGTTTACAAAACATGTAACTGATCCCAACTGAGATCATGGTAACAGATTCTTTCCTTTTTGTTTGTAATTAAGCACAAAGCTACACAATGGGCTATCTGTGCTCTCCCCACCACGGGTATCGAAACCCGGATGCTAGCATTGTAAGTGTGCAGACATGCCGCTGTGCCACTGGGGGGCTATGGTAGCAGAATAAACTTATGTTTTCTCATTAATAGAATAATAATTTCTAGTTTCGTCGTATGGTTAATTTTGTTTCCGAAATGAAAATATATTTAAAATATTACCAACTATTTGTTAGTATATGACACCTTAGACCTGTCTCGATCAAAAATGGCCGCCCACTTTGAAAACAGGTTGAACCAGTCGATCCTGCTCAGATATTACGACTGTTTGTTTCTTTCTCTCTCTCTCTTGGGAGTTGTATCATAAAGGTCAATAGCAGCCTATAAAACACCAGCAAAATACAAAATTCATCCCCTTCTGTTCATCAATCTGCCTACTTTTTATTGGACAATATTCGTGAAGTGCCAAGCTGTCTTAATCTCTGGACATTCAATGTAGTTGTAACTACGACCTAGGCTTGCCCTATAAACACTTTAAAACATCAGAAAATTTACCGTATAATTTTTTTCGGGCACTTTGTGCTATTATATTAAGAGTAGAAACACGAAAACCGACGTTTTTTGGCACAGTGAAAGGTAAAATCCTTATTAGAGGTTGCAGCCTATACATTTCGGTAACTAGTAGGCTGCAACATATAATGAAGATTTTACCTTTCACTGTGCCAAAAAA